AGACAACACTGCAGCTGCATTCACAAACAACGTTCGGAAGTCCGGGAAATCTCCGAGCAAAGGTTTCACACAGTGCCACTATGTCTTTCCAACATGTCCAACCTTCCAGCATGGCTGTGTTGGCTGGATCCACTTTTGCATACCTTTGCTGTTTCCACCCATGCCTGGAGAAAATGGAAAGCCAAAGGCCACTGACCCTCATCTTCGCAGGCGCTGATGGCCGTGCCAAAGGTCACTTCTGTCGCTTGTAAACTTCGACCTGGACGAGAAAGCTTCTTCGATTCGAAACACCGTCTAAGAGCACTGATGTGGATGCATCCGTCCTGGCAGAATTATTGACTGAGCAGCACACATTTGTGGACGCACCATGGGTCCATGAGTTGTGTTACCTCATTATCTCCATTGTTGCGACGGGATTGAGATATTAAAGTTACTTGAAGTGAGCCATATCAAAACCCGGCCTGGAAAACTCTGCAAAACGTGCAGAGCCAGCCGCCATTCCTTGCCCATTACACAGGCGTGCATCAGGCTACTCAAAGAGACGACATCTAAAAGCATGTGAGCTCCTTCCATCTCCTTCCAGACGCATGCGGGCAGCTACGCAAGTATTGCCATCAAAGCAAGACCTTCTTGCAAAAAAGATCAAAAAAGAAGCTCTTTCGTATCCTGTGAAAGGAAACATGTAAACAAACACTATGCAAGTCCGAGACTGCTGGTGAAAATGAAAAGGGATTTTACATATAGCTCTTGTTGTTAAATGTATGTATATATAGATATAACCTAACTTAACTATATACTTCAGGTTGTGGCTGCAATACATATACGAGATTATACGAGGACATGACAATGCAAGAAACAGCATCATATAACCATCTCAATAAACACAATTTCACAGTTGTGCCCAATGTGAATTGCTGCCGAACTTAGGATGGCAGGTGGACGTTCGTTGAGAATTATTGAGGATTGGATCGTCTCCTCCAAGATTTGGCCTATGATCCGCCACCGCCCTGAACTCGCACATGAGCTCATAGCTGAATTGTAGACCACGACGTTGGCTTCAATAGCCTGTCAGGGCTCCAATCCACAAATTGTGGCACTAACCTCAAGCTCAGGCATCCCGTGCTAGGCACAAGGCTGTTGATCAACAAATCCTTTTCTAGACTCTCTCCCAGTGATCTTGGGTGGAGACTTGAAATGATGTTGAACCGTCCACGGTTTGAACAGCTGCCTTTCCTTGTAGGTCATGTCTTGCAAAACCTGCAAGGCAGCTTCCCATTTAGACTCGCAGGAAAAGACCGCAGCCCCATAAGTGACGACGTTCAGCGGAATCATCATCGCCTCAAAACTCACGCTTCTGTGACGTGCAATCGCCTTGATTCCATCGAGGCTGAGCTAATGAATGCTCGAGTCTCCGCTTGATGCAAGCAAGGCACGTTTGCCTGTTGAAGCAGGGTCAAAACAGCATGCCAAGCCTTCGCTTGAGAACAGGCCAAAATGGCTGCCGATATGGTGTAGGCGTCCGCATTCTCTTTACTAAGCCTGTGCAGGAAGGTGATCGCTTCTTGCCATTGGAATCCTTGACCCCAGGACACCATGGTCGCGGTGGAGAGAAGCACCTCCTGCAAAAGAAGTGGCTCGCACGCACGGCATCGCACAACAGAGTTGGAATGCAAGCTGCCTATGCTTCGGTGAAAAGCCAAGCACCTGCAAAGGCCCTGAGCATGTCACTATACGTCGCTGTGCTGTGCAAACCACCTTGACCTTGGCCTATGACTTTCGATGCAATGAACTGTGTGCAATACAAAGGCTTACCCACCAATCAAATTGGAGTCAAGCAAGGATGCTACTAGGGGCTCCTGGCCTTACTACTAGGAACAAGAACGCTACTAGGAGCAAAGGGCATCGCTACTAGGAGCGATCGGACGCTACTAGGGCAATGCGCTGTCCGTAGGACGGCGAAGCAATCGGTCTCTTGAGCAATCAGCGTGAAACAAACATGGTAAATGATTGACACACCCCTTGGGGAGTTCTACGGGACACTATCAGCACTGCCCCACCAAACAGGTGAGCTGAGGTATGGTCGGTGATATTGGCAAAAGCCAAGATAATGTGAATTAGGCTGGAGTGCGGAGGTATGTGCAGTCAGGGGTCACATAACAAACTTGCATAATACTATGTTTGAATCAATCGAGTTGAACTTGTCAGAGATGCAACTAAGCACAATGAGGGATGAGTGGAGTGAGGGTGAGCAGTTGAAGTTTACCTATAAACCATCTGTCTATATCTATACAAAAGTATGTTCATTATAGTCTTTCCCCCTCTCTCTCTCTCTCTTTCTCTCTTGCATTTGAAAACACAACGCACAATATTACAGTATATACTGGTTCACCAAGGTAATCGGTGTACCGCACAAAGGAGTTACTATGGGTTATTACTTGCTGTGGGTTTATACTATGCATATATATATATACCGACGCAAATGTGTATATCAATATACACATAAACAACGCGTTGGGTCATGTTCACGTTCATGGAAGATTGGACGATTTTCCGCTCAGGTCTGCACCGTCCGCACGAAACTTTGCAGGAAGTGGAGGGCATCTTGCCATTCCATTGATTCTGCCAGAGCTGAAGTTGTCGAACTCAAAGAAACCTCCAACAAGACAAGAAAACACCTTAAACCATCTTAAAACTAAAACCGTGAAAACACCTGAAGACCAAACAAAGGGATAACCCACCCATAAAACATCTGCTACAGGTGTTGGCAGCTATCGGATTGTTCCTCATGCTGCAAGCATGCCACTGTGGCGACTTGAAGGCGTCTGCTCCGTTGTTGGCTCAAGACACGCAATACAGCAGGCCAATGATCCGTCCTGGCAGCACTGTAAGGTAGCTCGCTGAGACCATTCTCCTAAGGAGCGTCGCTCAGTGACAACTAAAATGCAAACTTCCTCGCTACATAAGTAAAGTAAAGTCTTACTCACTCTTGGGTGGAGACAACCTCGTATGGAGATGAGCCCCAGTGACCCGATTCTTGAGCTCAATAAGCTGATTCTATTGAAGCTTGCCACGAGCGGGCTGCAAATATGAGGGTCAAACCATTTTGTGGTGGTGACTACTCACTATTTGAGTTCTGCAACCCCCGGCTACTACAAGATCCACATCTGCTTCTGAGGCTCTGTGACCATGTTCATGGCTTTTTCCCAGAACTGCGCCCTTTCGAAGGCACTTAGAAGCCACTTGAAAGAAACCTCGTCTGGCTCCAAAAGCCTTGCAAGCATGGGATGGCAAGCTGCTGGAGTCCGGAGGACGATCACGGAAAAACAAATCAGCTGAGAAGCTGTGTCCTGATCTGCTTTAGCATATGGATGGCCATTCCTTGCCAGTAAACACTCAAGCTTAGAGGCTTTGAAGTTCAAGTAGCTTCATTCCAAAAAAAAGTGGCCTCCACTCAGCAACAAAGCAATACCAAAAAGCAGCATTGCATGATGACTTGTCTACCACCACTGTGATGTCTGTAGTGCCACGGGTCTCCACGTAGCGGAGCGCGCACATGCACTCAATGCCGTGTTCAGGGCAAAGAGTGCCGAATCTGCGATTGAATGGCTGCCAAGTGTCAACCTGACAAGGCTCGCCACATGCTCGCCACACTGCCCCTGACTCTTCTCTGCCATAGATCCTACCAAGCCTACCTACATCCTTGTAGAAACTGACCAGCCCATCACCAGCCTAGACAGGTGAACGGCTTCTTCCCACCGACTGGCACGCGCGCAAGCATCGATGGAGGTGTTGTAACTGATGTGACTGGGCTGCAACCTCCTGGTTCAAACTACTCATTCCATGGACCAAAGTGGCATGGTGCACAAGCTCACAAAACCCGACACATCATGATCTATATTTGATCAAACTGCGTGGTTTCTGGCAAATCCATAACAAAGTCCGCCCACCCTGCAGCATTTGGTTTGGAGGCGAGGGCTGAGTTGAATATAAACAGAAAAGTGTGCCAATACCCATCTTCAAAGCCTATCGCACTGAAATGCAGTCAGTACGTGGCTTTGGCCTCTGCGGGTCCACCTACATTAGGACCTACATTAACAGTGTGATGAACACCGGATCATGCGCTGCAGTGGTCATGTGTTCAATATTCAGCACCAAGCCAAGTGTTCAACTATGTTCAGTTCATGGGCTCGGTCCTGACACCCAGCTGATTCAGCAAAGATAGGGCATGCTGCCAACAAGCTGCTTTGCCACAAGCATTGATCGCAGAGTTGAACGTCACCAAATCCTGGGTGCCAAATGCACCATTCAAAGGCCATGCAAGATGTTGCAGGCACCGAGCGACATAAACATCGGATGCTGGGGCTATCTGGGGGTGGTAGTCAGTCACTTCTACGGCCTCCAACCTAATAGCGATGGCCTCCAACATGCGGCCTGCACACTTCAACTCTTTGGAATGAAACACTACGATGCTTCAGAGATTGCGTGGACAATGGACAAGCGTCGGCATATGCAGCAGCCTTCTTCAGGAGGACAATCGCACCCCGCCAGTTCGATGTCTGAGCGCATGAGTGAATGTCTTTGTTGCATTCCTGACACGGAAGAAATGCATTTCTGCAATGTTATGGAAATGTACGGGCCTCCTAAAGGCTGCATTCTGTCGCATTGCAACACACTGTCATGCCAACGTCATATAGCATAAAGAGAGACAATTATGCAATGCATGTCACGGCCTAGTCCAAAGTCTGCTTTTCTTGCACTACATGTAGTTTGTCGTCATAGTTTGCCTGAATGCTTCCTGTCCCAGCCACCTGTAGCCTCTCGTGACGTTGAGGCATCCATGGCAAGGCAGCTCATGTGGGCCCTTGGGCTTTCGAACCAAATCCTCTCTTCACCAATCCACGAGATTGGGGGTAATTCGAGAGGAGGCAATCAATACACAAGCATGTTGAATTGCCAATGTCGAAACAACATGGCATAACATGTCATATTCATGTTGTGACCTGTGCCGTGGCTCGGGTGGCCATATATATATATAATATATCCTACAGCATGCATCTGACTATATTGACTATATGCAAATGCTCACAAAGCACTCTGGATGTCAAGTCTTAAACAGCCAACCATGCTGAGCGAGGCTCTTGAATCATATCTCTTTTGTTGCGTGGCCATATCCTCTCAGATCTCTGATCGTAGGCCTGCCCAACAGCCTTTTCACCCCAAAGCCACGCAGAATGATGCTGTCTTCTCTTCCAACCTTGGCGATTCTTTCGGCACATGGAATTTTCCACATTGACCTTGAAACTTTTGACCCTTGATCAGCGCGATGAAGACCCGTGCGTGGCACGTCGCCACACAGCATGCTTCACCATCTTCTTGAGCTTTGTCAGAAAGGATGCAACTTACTCATGGAGAGTAATGGGCAGGAGTGAATGCTCCCAAACATCTGGGTCCAGCTCATGTAACTTGAAAAGTCCATGTCAACCGAAGCTTGCTAGACATGCTCCGGGCCAGTCAAAGCAATCCTGCTTCAACAGCGGTTCCTGTAAACTTACACGCATGCTCCATCACACTGTCCGTGTCAGAGTCTGACCGCTTACAAGCAGTCTCTGCGGAAGATTCTGATTCATCCGGTTTGCAGTGGTTTCTCCACAGCATAGAGCTCCATCTCTCTATAAAGACCTCGGACGTGGATTGATTTGGCCAGAGGGCTTCAGAAGGTTGCAGTCGAGCATCGTGAAGCTTGTTGAAATTGAAGACCCTTCTCCTGGGTTCTCTTGACCCTCGTCAATTCGATCAAATCCAATCAAAGGCCTACCCTCGCTCCTTCAAACACCGTTCACAAAAACCTTCAAGCTGTTCACGTAGCGCAGAAGACATCTTGATTTCAGGCATGAATGACTGTAGCCGAGAGTCGCAAGCAGAAATGGCAGCAGAGAAGGTGATGGAGTTCGGGTGCAGGTTGGCCCTGCATAGTTCCTGCTCACGCTGCCACCGGACGTCTGGGTGTTCACTGCTGGCATTTCAGTGAATATTTGCCCTCTTCATGTGTTCCCCAACTACCTGCAGTTTACCATGCAGTGCCAAGTTTGTTGGTATAAAAGATTGAGAATAGGCCACATACACAACAGTCGTGTGCAAAAGCGCATGCAACCAGGCAGGCCACCACCGAATCAAAAGGAGAGGGTCGTCCAGTCGACTGGAACTGCACAAGTCACCTCAAAGAGCACTCCTGAAAGAGCTGCAGTGTTTTGCCCCACTTTTGGCTCTTTTGGCACGAGCTTATTGCGGCGCTGTAGGTAATCACATCTGCCTGCGGAGAAACTCGGGAATCTCTCACCGGATGCCGTTTCCTGTTGCTCAGGAGTTCCTCCAAGAGAAGCTGAGACAAAGATATTCAAGGTCCGAAACTTTGGCTTTCCGGGCTTTCAGCTGAATGCGTGGGAAATTGTGTGAGCAACTCTGAAAAGATGAGCTCAAAGGCCTTGCAATGCCTTGCAAATTATGAAAATTACGCCTATGGAATGTCTGTTCTAGAGTGCAGGTGATGGTAGATGGAAGCTAGCAAACGAAACACATCCTCCTCAGCTTCCACTATCACAAAAAGGCCTGAAGTTGTTGCCCAAGCATGTTCGAGATCAAGTGCAACACATCTGGCCACTGGCTGCCTCCAGCAAAGCTCAAAGATGCATGGTGTCAAAGCAAGCAACTTTACCGAAGGCACATTTCGTGACCGCTTAAACTGGCTTAAACACTACCGTTTTCGACCTACATGAAGAAGGAACTATCCCTCTCCCTCCCTCCCTCCCGCCCTCCCTCCCTCCCTCGCTCTCTCTCTCTCTCTCTCTGTCTCTCTCTCTCTCTCTTTCTTTCTTTCTTTCGCCTCAAGCTGCTACTGCTAGCTGCAGTTCTCATGGCAAAGAGTGCCTGCTTCTAGACTGGGTTTGCGAGTCTCATTTTGTTCTGGCTCCCGATGTGAACACATGGCAGTGACACAGCTTGCCAGTCGCCATGCCTTTCTCGCATGCGCTCAATGCAGCGTTGCACACCATACTGCTGCATTGGAGGTGGTTGGACTGCAATTCCTGCCAGGACAGTTGGGACAATGCAGTGGCAATTCCATCAGAGAGACTTCTTGCTGAGAAAGAAACATTGCTGTGTGGTAGGTGCAAGAGGTAGTTAATGCCAAGACTAGACCTTATTCTTATTCTATATTCGTTCTGTGTCTGCTGGGTTTATTTTTGCACTCTGATCAGAACTGCCACACAATGACCAACAAATCCTTCGTGCATGTGTCATGACCCACGTTGTCGCAAGAAAGCACATACATATTGAACGCATGGTGTCCTCCAACGGTGTCATGACCACACCTTGTCGCAAGAAAGCAAATACATATTGAACGCATGGTGTCCTCCAAGCGTTAAGCCTCGATGTTCCGTACATCTAAAATGTAAAATACTAATTACATCTGATTTGTGCTGGTAGCAAACCGTCTGCATGACGCCGTACGAAGGGTATCCTGCAAAAGTCGCAAGGCAATCTGCCACTGCGCTCCTGCCAAGGATATCCATGGATGCCAGCTAAACCAAGAAAGGATACTTGTGCAAAGAACCGACCGTTGAAAGCATTGTGGCGTTTACATAGTGTTCCAACGTCATTTGTGACATCACGTTTTAGGTTCCTTTTTTGGACTATATCACCTAACCTCTGGAGGGATTGGCAGAAACATAGTTCCCAACATCATTTCCAACATCACTTCCTACATCCTAAGTAGCTTCACCTCTGGGCCTCTGGGTATGGCAGAAACATAGCGGTAAGGCGGCCACAAACGGAGCTAAATGCACCAATGATCGGCAAACAGTCAGCAAACAGCTCAAGGACTCAAAGACTTAAACATTCTTCAAGAAATGCTTGGGCAGCTCCTTCTTGCGATCACTTCCATGTGTGCAGCCAAAAATCAAGTTTTCTGTGGTGCTTGCAAAGGACTGGAGATGCCAATGCTGAAAAAATAAACATACATTTACGTATATATATATATAGACGGCTTACCGCAGAATCCTGCAAAACGAACTGATTTACGTTATGACTGGCCAAATATGTAACAGGCCAGTTTTCAAGGTTGAGTTTTTATACAATTTTATATGATTGTGATTGTGATATGGTTTTCTTGTGGTCCAGCCACCCAGGCCCTCCTGCCCCCAGAACAGCAAATCACTCAGCAAATCATACTGTATCTAAATCATAACCAAACCCAAAAATACATATATACATGCTTCTGTCCCACCTTAGCCAGTCTTAAGATTGGCGACCATTCTTTCGTATTTGCACTGATCTATCACTTTAGACTTCTTGGGGTGCACATCCCAAGATACAAACAGCTATAAACGTGACCCACCTGCCTCTTTCACAGGCACTGATCACTGCGCCAAAGCTCACAATGCTGGGCCGCTGAGTGTAACAAAGCTCCTGAGGTTTGTTTGGACCAATTGAACTGAAACACATTGCAAATCATGATGTCTGCATCTTCCACTGCCATCAGTATTTCTCAAGGTTTCGACACCGTTCATGTTCAGCGCTCAAAGAACACACACCTCAGAGTTAACACCGTACCTTGGCACAGAAACAAGGGTGCTTTGGCTCCAGTCCTTGAATAGGCTCAAAGCCAGTTGCCACTTAGACTCCCAAAGCTCATCGACTTCCCCAAAAGCAGCAATGGCCTTAGACATTTCATGGCATTCCACATGGATGAGTTGCGCCTGACAAAAACACAATGCAAAGAAACCCCTTTGGCAAAGTCAACAGCGCACCCGCAAGGAGAACCGAGACGAACATAAAACAGCTACAACAAACTCCACCAACTTTGCCCTGCGCACAACAGGGAGCATTCAACATCATCGCGTCTGCCAGTGTTGGGTTCGGCAGGCTAATTAATTTGTGATTGGGTGTGAGTATATATCTGGCAATGTGTCAAGCTTTATCCTTCACAAAGGGGCCATGTGCGTGAAACAAAAACATGTTTGTTTGTGTTGCATTGTTTTCAATTTGTTGCGGTGGTCTCGTCAAAACGAGGACTGCCAGAATGCGACTCAAATGGGTTTTTGCTCAGCGGTGACAGCGGTGACGACTTCCCAAAAAACCTAAGAAGCATCGGATTCATGTTTACCAGACTTAATTTGCCATGGTTACTCTTTGAATGAAAGGTGCCTATTCCTCCTGATGGAATTTACGTTGTGGATTGAACACTTCCTATAGCAACTACCGAACACATAGTTCAGATATACAAATGATATAAGTTAACACCAGCCTCCACACCAATCCCCTCACCACCATGCCCTGTCGCTGAAGTGTAGCTGTAGACATCCGCTGTGAGATCATCACGCTGCATGAGCTTCAACAGGTGCAGGCTCAGCTCCCTGCGGTGGAGAGAAGCGCCCAGCATGCTAAGTGTTTCATTCTCTATTGAATATGTATATACGCCTTTCTCTTCACGCACATGTAACGTAAATGTAATCACATGACTAATCACATGTACTAGCTCTTGGATCTATGAATGTGTTGTCTGCGTCCATGCTTCCTATACATATGCCTTGTCAGGCAATACTACAATGCACCTTGAACCCCTCATTGTCCAGTCTCCGGATGTGCTCACAGGAAAGAAAAACTCAACTGCCAAGTGATCAAGGGGCCACTGCCCGGAGATGCTGCACGCACTGATGGCTGAATTCCACGTAACCTTGGATGTGATAGAATACCATGCAACGAGGTGACGTGTTTCAGGTGTTGCAATTGGTAACAAATATATCATCATGTGGATGAGAACTACACTATCTAGGCCCCCCGCTCCCGCATCTGATGGGCACATCCAAAAAAGAAAGCACCTCTCTTGTCCTCCTCTCATCATTCGAGCTTGCAAGATATAAAACACGCACAAAGCTCCAACATACCTCATCTTGTCTGGGAATGGCAAGGCGCTACATTTGCCTGCAGCCTCTGATTGCGCAGCTCGTGCAAGAGCGCTAATGCACCCACCCATTGCCCTCCTGGATTAGACTGGTCTTCGGTCAAGAACTGATTGATGAACCATGAACTTCTTTCAAGTACCATGCAGTAACTGGTCAATATGCAGTTCCGTCTCATTCAGTATCATATTGTTTATTCAATAGATTGCACAGGCACACCAGGGGTGTCACTGTCTCACTGGGCTTCTCCTGCTTCACACGCTGCAATTGCAGCGCTGAAGCTGACAATGCTGGCTTCCAAGTGGCTCTCCTCCAAACGAGCCCGACACAGCCAAACAGCTAAGTTGATACACGGCTGTTGCTGCACGGATAGGGTGTTCGTGCGGTTTGTGGCTCAATGTCCACACAGTAAGCTGATCTCAGCATCACTGCCCCTAGCGCTTTAATTTGCATCATTGTTTGGGAGGCTTGACCATGTGCTTGACCTACTATGTAAGATCGACTGAAAGAACCCGCCTCTAATATCATCTACTGTAATATCTATGCCTATCTGGGGTGTAATTATTCGGTGCACCGTTCGAGTCGGCCACTACAAAAAAAGAAGCCTGAGCTGCTTGCAGCAAAGCCCAAGAGATCTGCCACTGCTGACCTTTCCCACAAGCACCTGGGCACAAATATAGTCAAACACGGTGCACGAGGTGGATTCCTTGCATCGTTTCCCACACTTGTTGGAGAAGCTCTCAACACCTGTGCATCTATGGAAACGGGAACATGATGGGCCAATGCATCTCACAGTCCTTGGAACAAACTTCTGTTTCACTTTGAGAAGGGGCACTTTTCCTGTCTCTCTTTCCATGGAGGAAGGGTGCCCTAGCCCACCACATCCTTGCTTTCTTTGAGGCTGCGACTGAGTGCCGCATTGAAGGTAATGATGCTGGCCTGCGCAGTGTGGAAGCCTTTCTGGAACCACGGCCAAATCGCATGAGCAGCTGAAGAGACACATTGAGAGTCATCCTAAAGAATAAACAGCAAATACAACAATCCAACCCTGTTGCTGAGGTGCTCAGATCCACTGTCTTCACACAGTGAGCCTGCACGGTTTGCAAAGCTTCCTGCAGTATTTCAAGGGCCAACTGCCATTGACCCCCTTTCTCACAGGCGCTGATCGTGGCATTGAAAGTGATCACCTGAGCCGGGCCGCCAGGCATCCAGTGACAGGCGCGAGGAGTTCAATTACTGTACAGCTCTTGGGGCAAAGTCCCACCTGCTTGCTTCATTAGGCCAGTAGCCCATCCCAAAGCTTTCAACACATCTTAAATTGGCAAAGACTTCTGACGGGTTGCATCCATGAGCAGCTTCCGCTCGTGAAGCTCTTTCAGCAGAATGAAGGCCTCAAAGGGCCTAATTTGTCCTTCTGCCATGGAAATCGAAGAATGTGACTTGATTCAGGTGGTGGGCCCCTCTTAACGCGGAACTACACTGGCTGCTGTGTACACGCACCAATGATTCATTATCTGACAAGCAATTGCTTTGTATTTGTAATGCCTTGGAAGAAACACACACGTATATATATATATATTTATATCTATTTATACAACCATAATCAATTATATATACACATAGACAAAGAGAGAGAGAGAGAGAGGCAGCCAAAAAGGGAGGGAGATTGAGAAAGAACATTAACGGGTAGGCCCGTGCAAACCCTCTAGTCTGAGGGTGCACTTGCTTAGGAGCACTGAGAAGGTCAGCGCTGTTGGGGTGGGAGGTTGTTACATTGTCAGCTACTTCCTGGTGCTGGGATTGAGGTTCACTCATGAACCAAAGAATTAGCAATGTATCCTAGAGAATTCCCAATCAGCAGCCATGCAAGCTGTAGAATCCACACTTTTTTCCTCAACCTCAGCTCATATGTGATCTTTGGGTCTTTGAGGCAGCGCTAAGAATTGACAAATGACTCGCCAAATCGCAAAAGGGGAAGTGGTTTGCCAACATGTGGATCATCAGACCACCAGTGATTACTAATTACTAGTCTTGAATGTCCAAGTGTATAATTTTGGAATGCCAGGCCTATTGTACTTGGACCCAGTGATACTGTAGTTCAATTCCAAAAGTCATTATGCTTAACCAAAAAAAAGTACAACAAATATAATATATATCTACAAAAAAAGCCCATATACAATAGTTATACAAGCAAAAAACAATGTAAAACAAAAACATGTTCAACCATGCTTGTTTTTTGTGCTGTGCAACATACATTTGGCCACGCAGTACATACTAAGCTAGATCACCACTATCATGTCCGCCATCTAAAACACTACTGCTCCAAGAGCGCTACCTTTGGCAGTGCTCCTAAGCAACTGGAACATGCTTAGAGGCACGTTTGCACAAGTCTAATTAAGGGGGGCAAAACGTTTGCCGCATGATGAATCTGAGCCGCTTGGGTCCAAGCACCTCCCTTCTCACATGCGCTGATTGCAGAATTCAGGATGATGGTGTCCTTGGCAAATGAGGTTATATTTTCTCACGATGTCGCTTGATCAACGCTGAGACGGTGGACAGTGGTTCCCAGGCTCCTGGGGAACGTGACTTCAAGGCAAAGATTGGATATGGCCCTCTGGTGATCATAGTATGTCATAGTCACCGAATACCGTCAGTACTTTGCCAAGAGTCAGAACGTCGTAAAGTCTTGTGCACCCACTCTTCTGTGAACGTCAGCGAACTCACTCAAAACTGATTCAAAGGATGCTCTGCCCTCCAACCTAATGGCAATGGCCTCCAACCTATTGGCGATGGCCTCCAGCGTGGACTCACTCTTGAACATCCTAAGACTTATGCTCAAGTCTCCGCATTTTGGTGGCTCCGATCCACTTCAGCCAGCAGCTGCATGGCTTCGCTCCACGCTCCACCTACAAACGTCTCAACCCAAAAGAAAGCAAATGCTGCATGCGACCACCTTCCTACAAAAATGCTAGAGTTATATATCGTCATCTGTGGCTTTGCCCTGACTTGTCTCCCATCCTATAGAACATGCTCTGCGTCTTTCGACGGCACCATTGTTGACCAATGCTTAGATTTGTTTAGTTCAGCATTCTTGAGTGAGGGTTCAAACATCAAGCAATTGGTCAATCACGCGATCCTATTACTCTATTCAAAACAGTGGCACACTCAACTTCAGGTCCACTGCTTGAGGCACTAGTGATATTATCATACGATGTTGTCGTTCTTTGACTCAAGTTGGAAACTGGGCGTAATACATAGTGCTGCATTTGGTTGGTGCTGCCTGACTCGTGCATGCACGTTTACTCTCTCCCATTCAGCCCACTACGACCTCCAATAACAAGAGTCTTGGACGAGCAAAGTTGCACACAAAGGCAAAGTTGTGAGATTGTGCAAGGTGACAATTTGGGTTTGACGGGAGCATACGGGAGCTATATAAGGAGAGCCCACAAGAACAAAACAAAACCTGAGACAAAGCCAAGCCGGGTCAAGTGTGGAGAGCTCCGCAAGAAAAGTTACGATTTCCACGGCATCCCATTCAAAGCCTAGACTCAATGGAAGCATCCGATACTCGGTTCCTCTAGTGCTTGTCACTCAAAAAATCAACAGGCGCGCACACACTCCAACACGAATCTAAACTGCGAATTGCACAGCTGAACGTCCAAATTGCGATCCATCTTGCAGTTCTCCTTGAATTCTTCTATCCATGTTTTTCTATGTTCTTCTGTGCTCCTTCCCCACTTCAAACACCAGCCCCGGCCTTTCTCGCAAGCACTGATGGTGACGCTGTAAGTGATAAGGTTCCTTTCCAGCTGCCTCCTGTGCATTGACTGCAGCAGTGCCAGAGCCTCCAAGGTTTGAAAAGAGAAAGACAGGTCATTCAGGCCTTTGACCATGACAGAGTGCCTGCTCCCACTGGCCACCATGTGCACACGCATTGATGGCCGCAGAGTAGTTGATGTGGTTTGGCTGCAGCCAACAGTGATCTGCAGCATAAAGAAGTTGCCTTCGTGGGCGAGCTTTGGCACATGCGTCGATGTTGATTAAGCACGTAGTGTCAAACAAGCATCATGACCTGGATGCAAATAGGAATAGGGCAAACATGCAATTGATAATGCACGAGCACACCATATCAAACACACAGGGTACCCTTCAAAAAGCAAACAGGAGCTTGCTGAGAAGTGACAGTGCTTTGGCCCACTGCGCACTTCTGCCACAGTGTGCGATTGACTTGCTCAGCTCCTGACCCCAAAGAGAAACAGAACAGGCTACCACCAGCGTGCGCAAAACAGTGTCTTTGTGAGCATCTGTCAGCTGTGAGCATCTGTGAGCATCTGCTTACAATCAATGCAACTCACAAAAAACGATAGAAAACCTCAAACAGAACAAAACTTCAAAAACCTTGGAAAAAAAACTGCAGACCCCATGAACCATCCCAAAACTTCAGACATAGGGTGTGCAGTTTTTTTGGAGGTTCTGAAGAAAACCAAAAATACACAACTGCAAACTGGGGGTGTGATCACAGATTGGAAGAAACACTACTAGAATTATATTAGACTTAAACATAGGCTGCATGGAAATTAAATTGAAAACAGGAGTTAGAATTAGGTTTGAATTCCAAATAACATAAATAAACTATATATGGAATGTAGTAAATATCAAAATTCAATTGAATGATATCTGAACTACAATTAACATCGAATCCCAATAGAATTAAATCAAATTGAATTAAATTACAATTGAATTAGATCGTCGATCGTTTAGGATTTGCAACTCTTTACCTTCTGACTCTGATGTACTTATCAAATTGCATTCAATAAGAGCAACACAATTCACTAGATAACGTAAAAGCAATTTTGCATAGGATTTGCATGGAACTGAATTACATGCAAGTTTTTAAGTAAATACTTAATTCAATTGTTTTATACATAGGTAAACAAACAACTACTTACCAGCTACAAATAATGCAAAACGTTACAACATCACAACTTTCACAACTCCACCCCCTATTTAATTTTATTGCATCTTTATACAGTATTGTTCCTCCTATGCTATATATGTTGCTGTATTGAATATAAATGACTCCCTTAAAAAGCGCACGCTCACAGTGGCCAGCTCTCAAGAGAAACTGGCAACCACTGGTATCAAATAAAGACCCAATTACGTATTCAAAGCACCTTGGGATGCTTGCATGACTTGCTACAAACTTCATGACTTACAAGTCATTCTGTGCCTGCCCAAACTTCTCAAGTCAAGCCTTAGCGCAGCTCTCTGCACTTGCATGTGCAGTGACAAAAGGAACCAGTGGCTTGGCCATCTAAACTGGTTTAACGTGAAATCAATAGTGTTGTATCAATTTTAGAGCACAACTATAACCAATCTATTATCAGTTAAGTGCGTGTTTATGTAAATAGTATATGTACATATATACACATTTACATGTCTTAATACACTATTTAGGGGGTCCTCAGTCCCCACCCAGAGTGTGTCATGTGTCAGAGCCTGATGTTTTGCAGCAGGGCGTTCGAGGGCGAAGCACCCCATGCGCCATGACGCCCGAAATCACGTCCAGATCTTTCAGTCACGTCGATGACCCGAAAAATGTCCAAGGAAGCAAGTCCATCGCAAGACCTCTGAGCGTCCATGCTTCTCGTCCGTCATCTGGTGTCAAGAATTCAACAGCTATATATAAAGTCTTCTAACATCCGTTGCTCGACTTGAGTCTGCACTCCTGCCGCAAAACAAATGGGATTGAGGGTGGCAGTCTCAAGATATGCAGCTAAGGACTGCAGAAGGTGTCCTCGTTGGGCCCAAAAGTCACTTGGATATCCTCGCCACTTTCCTGACCCCCTGGAATGGCAGGTCAATAGGAATTTACGCAAGTGCGCTTGCCAATTCAGCTTCTGCTTCAAACGATTGACGGTCCTTAAGGGAATCACCGTCCATCGTTTGAAGCATGCTAACACGTTGGGCGACTTCAAATAGAGGTGGTTTTTGTGGTTCTTTCATGTTCTTCGTGTGTGGTTTCTTCTTGTGAATGATAATTTCGAGCTCTACGCTGACATCCACAAGAACTTCATCATATTATATAGACGTTGAAAACTTTCGTAGGTGCCTTGTGTCCCTACCAAACTCTCCATGATCCTCGCACTCGCGATTTGAATCTTTGTTTTAAATACCTCGCACGGGCCTCAGAGTGTTCTGCAGAAAAAAGAAGGTGTCTTCGTTAATCCCGTCACTCTTCTTGGGGCTAATAGCCAAAAACTGGATGCCGCCGCCCTGTTCCACCCTCTCGACTTGACGGGAGAGCATCTAAAACGACATTTCTTCATATGTGTCCATTTCAGACAGCATCTACGGCTTTTTCTTCACCCAGCCAATCATCATCAGTCGTCACTGCTTTCAACTTCAAGAAGAGTCTCCATATCTTCCTGCATCATCAGTCGCGGCCGCGCAAGAATGTCTATAATAACCAAGCGAGAGCAAATCAGCGATATATTGTGGTGACAGTCTTGCCGACCAAAAGCTTCAAGAACCTTTTAATAGCGATGGCCTCCAACCTACTAGCGATGGCCTCCGGCCTCCAACCTAATAGCTTCAAAAGCCTTTGCAAGGTAGCCGTCCTCTCCCAGGAGTTGCCACATTTCTGGTTGTTCCAGAAGAGCCTTCTCCAAGTCTTCCTGGCGTTCGCACAAGGCCTGCCAGGAAGGCGGGATCGGGCAATTTTGTAGGCTTGGATTCCAGGATGATGCCTCCAGGCAAACTTATCTCTGATCCACTGATTGGGGGTATTGCGCAAACTCGATGCCATGCCAAGGATCTATTTATGCATTCATTATCACTTCTTTGCTGCGTTGGCAGATCGAATCAAAACTACCGACAGGTCCAAGGAAAATGAACTGAGGGAGGAAGCAGTGAAAGGCTCCCAAAAAGTGTGTACAGTCAAATGCATTGACAAAACAAAACGGATCAATTGAACTTTCTGATGTTCATTCTGAGCCAACAAAGGCCCCAAACAAGCAAAGCTCTGGCATCTTATCTGAACTCCCTCTGGCTCTGATGTTCTCAATCACCACTCAATACAAGCTCTGGTGGTAGAGAAGGGAGTCAACAAAAATGTCACACCCTTGTTGCTGTTGGCACCAGCTGGCAGCCAACTTTACTTGTAAGTGTCAACGTTTCACTCTCTGATGAACGACGATGCTTTCAGCAAGGTGTAAATCCCATGGCCTCAAACATCATAAGGAACATAGCAACAGCACAAATTTGGTTGTCCAGCAGGATTCTGGCCTTGTCCTGGCATCATGAGGGTGTGATTTCACATGTGCACAAGCCGGATGGTCGAGCCAAATTTGACATCAATTCATTAATTAAGCATGCACTTGGAGGAAAATAGTTAGGTTGAGGGTGGTTGGGGATGTTATTTGCACTTGTGTGCTTCCGGTGAGTCAACATCGGGTGCAAATCATGCAGTTCAAAGTGGAGGTATGCATGCCGCCTTGAGAATCTTTATTGGACTAACTGACATCATTCAGACATTGAAATGTCTTGCCCGGTTCTCAATGTTTCACATTCTCAATTGCGATCTCTCCTGCAGTGTCAAACTGGGCTGTATCTCCGCCATTATCTTCGGGACTGCATCTGCCTTGGGTTCACGGTTGTAGTCACATGAGTTGGCCTTCCCAGGGTTCTGAGAAGAAAGGCCGGGGACTCTGCTGGACGCTGCGAAGCCAAAAGGCCACCCCTGCCCCTAATAGCCAATAGTTTTGCAAGCGCATGCACCGAGTGGCATCATGGTTCCCCTCGGCATCTACGCCCGAGAGCTAGCCACCGGTAAAACATAATCCGGCCACTATCATGTTGCAGCACTTTCTGCCAAGATGCAGGTGGACTATGGCTCAGCATCTTCTCTTGCATCTCAATCAGCTGAGGATCTTGGTAGAGAGTCCGAGCTCTCAACAGTTGGACAGTTGGAGGAACGATCCAAGAATAGAATGGACACCAAGAATATCTTGAGATATCTCAAGCCCTACATATATAGATATACATACATAATCAAATATATATATATATATGGTACCCCCCCCAAAAAAAAAAAAAAGGAACAACATTCATCAAATTTCCTGGTATTTACAGTGTTTATTCATATTTTTTTGATATAAACAATTAACAAAAACAGTGCACTTTACAATGGCAACCAGCAACAAAACAACAAACCAAAACAACCAAAAAGACGTTGAAGAGAGTGTTTGGTTCAGCCTCAAAAAATGAAAGAAGGCTGGCTACAACCAAAAAACAATTTTGTGTTTTTGATGATTTGCTATGAGTACAACAAAATATACAATATCAAACACAATAATACCTTCTGTTTTGTTTTTGGCAGTGTGCTAGTACAATAAACCTGCAAAACACAAAGATATGTTTTGGAGGCTTTTGGATTTCATAACCAAAAACCAAAAATCACAATAACAACAAAAAAACATCTTTTGAGGCTGAACCAAACATTCTCCTCAAAGTTTTGTCTGTTTAATGTTTTTTTTGGTTTTGTCTGTGCTTTGGTCCTTTTGGTTTTTGCAGAACCTGTATATTTTTATTGGAAGTTGACTTAGGATTGAACTGAAATATAAACAAAATTTAATTGAAATGTAAAAGCTTCTTGTATTTCCAATGAGCTTGAAATTTAGATCTAAGTCAATTCTGTTTTGAATGCTTTACAATTTTAGCCATGAATTCATAACAATTGAGCTTTTATATAACTCTATTGAACTCTAACCTAATTACTATTTAACTCTAACTCAATTCAAAATTTAGAATTGCAAATTCGATTTTGAACCTGATTGAACCAAAAAGGAATCTATTGAAGCTAGTTTTCAATCTCCAAGTTGATCTTTATTCAGTTTAATTGAATTTGCAATCAATTCTAATTTAGTACCATTGTAAATGTCATTTAGTTTCTAATGCAATTCTCACCCAAGTCTAATTCTAATTCATGATTACAGCAACTGACTTCTAATCGAGCTGCAGGTCAAGCAATTCTATTTCAATCTTGGTTTAATTCCAATTCAAAAATAGGTTAAGTCTAATTTGCTTTTAACTTATCCCGAAGTTAGCGTTAATTTTTATAGTTGTATGTCAATTTAAATGTAGTTTATCATTCAAGTTATGTTGTAATTAACTTTTAGTTTCCGCTAGTTTAAATCGTATACAATAATTCAGCTTCAGTTGTGTACAAATCTGGTTTACTTATGGTTTTCCAAATTACTTTTGATTACTTCTAATTTAATTCTAATTCGTTTCTTCTTCAATGCAAAGTTAACAGTTAGTTCTAATTCAATGCCAATTGAAGTCGCATTTAATCCTGATTTTATTCTAGAGAGAGGGTTTTGCTCGGGATATGATTTTAAGAAAACAACCTTTAAGAAAGCAACACATAAATTATATACAAAGCTTTCTATTTAAAAGCAGCACGCACTCTCTAGAAGCAAATAGAATTGCAAAATAACCCACCTTTTTAAAACATATATTGGATTTTACTTTTCAAGCAATATAGATAATTCAAGCAAATTAAACAACAATTCAACTAAAATTCCTGTAAACATATATTGTATAGAACTTTTTGAGGTCAAACTAGAACAAACTATGAACAAACTGTAAAACGCATTTCATTACGCCTATGTTTACAACATTTCTTTAAAAGAACCAAAAACAAACTAGCTTCATTTTAAGCATACTTGATTTAGAAAAAGCAAGCTAGTTACACACGATTAAAGCAAAACAACGGCATAAATTTATGGGCTTTGCAATTTTGATATTACGGTATTGTGGGTTACCAAAACTGCACAGCCCTATGTCTCCAAAGTGGCTTAGGGCACTGCAGTTTTGATATTTTGGTATGTTGGTTTTAGAGGGAAAACCAACGTAACAAAGGACCAAAACTGCACAGAGCAATGTCCCCAGAGTGGCTGAGGTCAAGCCATGGGGCTTGTGCAGTTTGATAATTTTTGTATTTAGGTTTTGAGAGAGAACCAAAGTACCAAAACTAAAGACCCCATGACCTAAAGTACCAAAGTACCAAAACTGCAGACCTCATGACCTCAAGTACCAAAACTGCAGACCCGATGACCTCAAGTACCAAAGTTCCAAAACTGCAGACCCCATGACCTGACCATAGCCAGTGTGGGACATAGGTCTGTGCAGTTTTGGATCTTTGGAACTTTGCTACTTTTGTAGTCGAGATAATCTAAAAGCAAGCGGTTTTTTTTGGGGGGGCTAGCATATATATATATATTATGATAGTGTGCGCGCGAGTGTGTGTGTGTGGACACCTGCAAAAATCCGAGAGTCTATGAAGTCTCCAAACAACATTCGGGCATACAGTAGTACACAAATGGGCTAGAAAGCTGCCCTTTGGGGCACACTCTTTCACTCTGTCTGTTTTAGGCGATTGCTTTAGGATGTTTTAGGTATCTTGCATGAAGGTCCTTTGTTTCCGTCTTTGACGAGCAGCTTCTCTCATCATAGTAAGTCTGACACATGAAACCCACAGCCAGCTCGAAGGCTTTTTGAGCTCGGTGCTCAAGACCCCTTAGCGCCTGGCCGATTCCGACAGGCAGCTTACCTAGCTTTCCACAACATACATACCTGTACAGCATAAGTGTGGAATCATGATCATCCTTGAAGGACAAGCTTTTAACACCAACAACTTCTTGCCATTGACTTTGTTTTCGCTCAGCGCATTGGACAGTACAAAATGCCAAACGCTGCCAGAGCCTGCTGAAAGTTCCGAGACTTCATCAAAACATCAACGGAATGCCGCAGCGACCTTGTCTCTCTAGTGAGCTTGACAAGGAAGCTTTGGAGAAATCAACACGCTGATATGACCGCGAAGTGAACATATTAAATGCTATGTCAATTGCTTCTATGACCATCGTCAAGCACGCATCCGGTGCTGAGTCCCAATCTGAAAGCAGAGTTTGGTTCCATTTGGACCCATTTGGATTAGCATGATGCGATCACAGCATATTACAGCATCTTGTTCCAGGCCTGCTGGATTCGATCTACACTCTATACTGCACCTCACCGCTAATGTGGGAAAGTCATGCACCCAAGAAGCTTTTCTTGCTCGGTCCGTGGGTTCTCCGTCGTGCCAACAATGGTCAGGCAGCTCCATGACTCGGAGCAAATGGTCATTATGCGGTTCCACAGCTCCTCCACAGTCGCAAGGTGCTTTGTCATTCCTGTCCCCCCCTGTTCGTCACACCAGAGTAATTAGGTCTACGATGGCCTACACCTTTACCAACCTCACAACGACCCAATACCCCAATGCTACCTGGCCTCTCGCCATGGCATCCCAAAGCACCGTGGCTCCCGAGCAGCCGACGCGCCATTCAACTTTGCCTCGCTGAGGAATGCAAGGCCTCACGCCGAACATGTCGGCACTGCGATCGGCGAATACACATCAAGTCTATAAGTCTTTTCATGGTATGTAATTCATTGTAATTATGTGTGTGATTTCAGTGTTTCTGTAGCTTGACACCACTCACTACTTCACATTCTTCACATTCTTCACATCGCTTCAGTGTCTTCACCAGTGCACCCGATCATCTTCCGGGTCGACCCGGCGTCATGTGCGCTTGCCAGGCCTTCTTTCCGGAGCTCCGAAGATTCCGCCCCTGAGCAAGAACCAAATCGTCAAGTCAAAACAAAAACAGTAGCTACACTTGTGTCTGCCAGACCCCTTTATTCTAGAAGTTTATCATCTTGAAAAATAGCCAAAACAAAAACGCAATCACAAAATGCAACCAGAAAACAAAAGCAATCACAAAAGCAAAAACATAGAAAAGAGTAATCGCAAATTGCAAACAGAAAAACAAAAGCAATCATAAAAACAAAAAACAAACAAAATTGCAAGCAACAATGGAACATAACAACTCAGCCGGGCTTTCTAGCGCACTTTTGAGGGGGGTCCACTTTCTGGCGCACTTTTGGGGGAGGGCCCACTTTATGGCACACTTTTGGTCGTTTATTTGTTTTTCTCCGGCGCCGGGTAAAAGGTCACACTTTTGGTCGTGTTTTTTCGCTATATTTTTTTGTTGCGAAAAAAAATAACGAAAAAAAACGAAAAACAAGCGACCACACTCACTTGCGAACTGTCCGACGGTCCGCCCCTCTAAGCCCTTCCACAAAGTGGGGTGCTAGAAGGTAAACAAGTATCTACAAATCGAAAATATCCTTGTGAGAAGAAAAGCTCACCTATGTAAAAACACACAGGAGACCAGATTCACTCACTGTGAATTACTAATTATGAATTTGGTAGGCCACTCAGGTTTCGTACGAAAGATGCTCAAGCGATTGATGATTACGAATGCATTTCTTGATTCTTTGATACAAACCACTGCGGAATTTAAAAGGAATATCTGCATATGGAGACTGCAAGATTTCATCCTTATGCACAAGCGGCATTGGCAAGCGGACATGGTGTGGATAGCTTTGCGCAGGTAAGGACGAATAGTCACGCAGTACCAAGAGCAATTTCTCTGCATTAGGGATAACTGGACGTTTTGCAATTCCCCCAACAAGACTTTTATGAAAACCGAGGCGAACAAGTGATGATGCCCCAGATTTTATAAAATTGGGTATCAGGGGCATAGGCAAGGTGTTGTCCAAATATCTTACAACAGGTCTGAGCGTGTTAGCTTGATTCCAAAGACTTTTAGCGTCATCTTTTTGAATGTCAACTTTTGGCGAATTAAACGCATAAGGAGTAGGGAGGCGGTCTGTTTTGCTATAAATCCAAACCGGAAGTGCAACTCCAGTGTACAACATGAATCCAATAGCAAGCTCGTACCACGTAATTCCCCAGTCGTCATCTAGCGCTGGAAGGTCTGGTGGATGCCAATGAATTTCCTTGAAAAAGGACCATACCAAAAAGGCAGTCGACGCTCCAGCAGGGCACGCTTGGGCAACCACCTGGACCAATGGACAATCAAATTTCCAAAAAGCATTTCCTAATTTCCAGTTTTGCAAATGTTGCTGATATTGAAAAATAGCATCTAAGGTATTATGCGCATGGTTCGCTGCCTCTTCTCTCTCTTTTTCAATTTTCAGTTGACTATGCAACGCATTCAGATCTGCCAAATACGCGTATATATAGGAAAGTGCTTTTTGTTGTTGTTCGCTATGCTCGAAAATGTGGCTCAAGGTCTCTTTTGTTAACCATCTTGGCTGTTTCATCGGCTACTGTATTACCTAAGATAGTATAAAGGTCGGCAACACCGGAAGCATCCTCTAATTGTCGATGAGATTTAACCTTAAAGACTTGGTGCAGTTTGGGATTCCACTGTTGTTGCAAAATTGAGACTAAGTCTGCAGGTGCCATCTGAAAAAGCTTAGGAGACAACGTATCATCGGAGATAGCCTCAAGAATCTTTTGAACAAAACTAGAGTCTGTGTAAACGGATAGGAATTCATCTGGCAGATTACGGGCGAAATGACTGACTAACCAACTAACAGACTCCAGTTCACCCCGATTAATGGATTGCAAACCGCATGTATGCGAGGTTTGTGAGACAACAAAATGATCAAGCGATGGACTATCTGGATCATGGTTGATTTGTTGCACAATTGCCCAAGCAGCCCGACAACAGTTTTGGTTGCGAGGGCGGTCACAAGTACCATCTGTAAAGAAAACATAATGATCTGTTGGACGGATATCGGGCTCATCGAGAAATGGGCCAACTCGGCACCACTTAAGTCGGTTATAGACTATTTGTTGAGAGTGAATGGTAGCCAAAGGAAAATACAACAAATTTGAATATGTCGTGAGCAATTGCACCGCTTCGGGATGCGATTGACGGACATGGTCGAATGAAGGACAATGCAATTGACGGTGCGAGTGCGTGTCTTGTTGGCCACAAAATTCACACACATGTGATTGACTGTTATCCCAGATTGCCTTAACAGCCCCTGTTTGATAACCACCAGTAAGGTCCAATGCAATCAAACGGAGTGTACTATCAGAGAGCTTCCGAAGAACTTTATGCTGGATATAGGCATCAAAAGGGAGCGGAGTTACTCCTTTACGGTGAGAAATCTGCGTGTGGAGAAATGTGGACCATGCCATACGGAGTTGCAGGCGGATTTCACGTGTGGACTGCACTTTTAACAAAACTTGGTGACCGCTCAAATAACTCAAATTGCTTCCCTTTTCGGCCATTGTTGACCTTGCAGCCTTATTTACAGAAGTGTGGCCCCTGGCCTACGATAAATCTCAGATGCTAGCAAGGGTTATTTTGCTTGCCAAGACTGCCCACCCTAATTCCTTTTCAGACGGGCGCCCCATTACAATCCTTGGATATATCCCGAGACTTTCCTCCAAACTTATTGCTGACCAATGCCTTGCGGCATGGGGAAAGACTTGGGACCCAAAGATTGCGGGGGGGTTGCCATTCCGGTCTGTTAAAGATATCACAATCCAACAGCAATTCCTTCTGGAGCAAGCACATAATTCGAATATTCCCCAAGGCGGCTTCACCCTGGACCTGGTAAAGGCATTCAACCTGATACCACGTCAAATGGCAAAACGTCTCTTGGTGCATATGGGTGTCCCCTCAAACATCATTGGCTTCTGGATTCGGTCGCTAAACCATATGGAACGTACTCTCCAAATCAAGGGGTTTTGTAGTAAGCCTGTACCTTCCACTACGGGAGCACCAGAAGGTGATGCTCTATCAGTGTGTGCCATGCTGGCCATTGCCGCAGTGTACTTTCATCGAATGTCATTGTGTCGAGTTACCCCCTTCACCTACGCTGATAACTGGACTTTTATGTCCAACTCGCAGAGATCCCTTTTTCGTGCTTTCATTAGTACACTTAATTTCGCACAAGCCCTGCAAATGAAAGTGGATCTAAAAAAGTCGTGGGGATGGGGAACGTCAAAAGAAATGCGACTATTTTGGAAGCAAACAGAGTGTCTTTTTCCTGATCAACAGACTGTGATAGAGGTGAAGCAAGCGTCTAAAGATCTGGGATGCATGATGCAATACACACGTAAGATCACATTAGGCTGTTTTAAAGAACGTATGAAGGGAGCTGGTAGACGTCTTATGAGGCTGAGTAAGCACCATATTTCCATCCACGACAAAGCAAGTAAAATCCAAACTGCAGTCTGGCCGTTAGCATTTTATGGGGCCGAGAGCCAAATGATAGGTGAAGCCCATTTCACCAAACTTAGAAGACAAGCTACGGAGGCCCTCATAGGGCACCATTTACACGGCTTTGTGTAGCATCCGCAGATTGTTCCAATACCATCCTAATCTAGCTAATGAAATGTGGGACCAAATCCTAAATTCTTCTATGTTCTATGGTCCCTGTGGAGCTCTATCGGGGTACCTAAAAAGGGTCCATTGGGTTCCAAAACCGAATGGAATCGTAGAAATGCCGAGGAAAAAAAGCGACCAAAAGTGCGACTTCTGACCCGGCGCCGACCAAAAGTGCGACACTTGACCCGGCACCAGAAAAGACCCTTGTCCAGTACTAACCCTACCCGGCCCCTCCAAACTACCCTCTGTGTTTTGCTTGCGCTTTTTTGGTTGCATTTTTATTGCTTTTTTTTGGTTTTCTTGGTTGCTCAGTGTTTTGCTTGTGCTTTTTTGGTTGCATGTGTTTTTGCTTTTTTGTTGCTTTCTTGGTTGCTCTTTGCTTTGCTGGTGCTTTTTGGTTTGCTTTCTTGTTTGTGTGTTTTTCGTTTTTGTTTTTTCAAGTTTGTTGAGTTCTAGAATAAAGCCACCTCCGGCGGACACAAAGCTACACTACACTAATTACATGTCCTCAACTATTAAGAGTGTGCCAAGAAACTGGTGTTCAATGGGTAGGAAGCAAGTGCCTCATGCACCACCTCGATCCATTTCTCCAAGTTGGCTGTGGCGCGGATGCTCAAGGACTTGTCTGAGATCACGTCCATCAAGGTTGCCTCATGGTTGACTCTTGTGCAGCCATTTTGAAATCGGTTTGGATCACTAGCATATGAAGAGAACGTTCTTACGCAATTGTAACCATCGCACATGTTGAACACACAGAATAAAATCTCATCGTTATATAGATTTTGAATATACTCGATGATCACCAAACATAGAGCAGGACTCGACACGGAATGGAGAATGTACAAACAAATATGCTGTGGTACACTAGACTTCTGCGCGGTGCTATCACATTGATACTAGTGGCGATAAGGATGGCCAGAAGCTGGCTCATGATGTTTTGGTAGCCTGATCTGCCTTAGTTGCATACGCCATAAACCGCAACAACCCGCCCAAAGAAGGAACATATGCAAAACTGCACGATTGACTTCAAAGAGAGCCAGAACAATTATGCACCCAAAGCAGCAACATTGAGCAACCAATGCGAGATTTGTTTCATCAACTGTTTCTCGTCGACCTATTCCGACCTTTCTTCTCCAAAAATCTTTATTCTTGATTGCCTCACCATGCTCACATCAAGTGCATCTCGGTGGTTTCAGAGTACTATCCTCCGAGCCACCCAAGCTTTCCAGACCCTGAAAGCCTTGGCAGGCACTGCCTGCATAGAAGCAGCTAAACATCAAGCCAACCTTGGCCAGGTTGGAGTGAACCGGAAGCGGACATGAAATCACCAGTTGGGCATTGATCCAAACTCTGAGGTATATGTTGCCATCTGGAGGTTGGAAGGGATCAGGTCTACGAAACTGGTTTGCCAAGCTGCGTAGAAGAAACTCGGTGAGGAGAAGTAGGTGTAGAAGGCCAAGAACTCAAAGGAAAGGAAGAGTATCAAGTACAGGGTTGCTGCGCATCCCCAGCCAACGTGCCTTTGGAGATTCTGAAAGGCCCGTGCTGTCCTCTCTCTTAGCCGGCTGGTAGTGAGACATTGAGGAAAATGGTCAATTCAGATTCTAATTCGCTTTTATCATGGTTGGACTTAGACATTGAATATAAATCTCTGAAGTAGCAAAAGGGGCTGGGATCACAGTCCCGGATGAGTCTAACAAGGTCAATCGTGCCAGGGAATGAGGCAGCTCAACTTCCGTTGAACCACCATTTGAGCCTCTGATTCTGGCCGGCTATATATATATATACTATATAGCACATGACTTGGGACACCCGACAGGGATACTGGGCCAGCTAGATGCGCATAATGAATACAGTATATAGACACCACATATAGCATATTCAAGAGTAATTGGGCCAAAGTCAAACCACACCTTTAAACTTGAAACGTCCTGGGCTTGCCAAACACCGGCCATTTGTCGCACCCCGCCACCGATCCAGTCTGACTGGTCCGGACGATCAGGTTGAGATGACGTCGAACGCTCTTGTTTGCCGCGTGCACTAGCCCTTTAAGGAAGAGTAGAGTCACAGCTTGTGAACACCACAAAAGGAAAGCAGGTACGTCAGAGTGGCCAACTCTGATATCGCCAGATCAAATGGGCATCTTCGTTGGTAGCGGTCCCAATTGATCTGCCGCTACCCCCTGCTGTGAAAACGCATGCAACAAGTAACAACCCAACAGGATCCCTGTGACTCCAAGATTTACACACACGCCTCCCCGAGGGGAGGCAAAAAACTAAGGTTAAGACAAATGTGCATGTGTGCGCGCAGCAAGGACAAAAAGATGAGGATATGAAAGGAGGACAGGACAAACGTGTATGTGGCTGCGATGAAAAGGAACCAAGTGCACAGAGACAAACAATGAACCCCACCTCATTATCAAACCTGGGTGACCTGAAGCCTGGGTTGTTTAAAGTGCAGGTGGATGTGCATGTACACACTAAGGCCAGGACCGATGTGAGTTCACGGACACATTAAACTGATTATGGAATTTTGTGGAAATGATTGAACACGTGGTTTCATGGTCTTTGCCTACTGCATTTCATGTTGAAAAACCCTTCAATTATACTTCTGGCCGCAGTCAAAGAGGACGTGGTGCTTTTAACATTGCAAACTTGTAAATCACGGCACCTTTGCATGGCTTCAACAAGCCGTATGTCTGATAGTCTGCCTTTTTGGCCAAACACTGGTCCCCAAAGGTCTACCACCATCTCATTATATATATATATATTGTTTAAAGGGTGTGTTTTAAATCTGCCCAGTCCAGGTGTAGTTTCAGGATTCTTGCACATGTCTTTTCATGTTGGGAAATGTATAAAACAGCCCTTTGCGACCACAAGAGGCCGCAGCAGCAGCAGTTAAGCGGCTTCCGTTTCCCCTACACTTGATCTCAAGTTTGCCACAGTGCTTGATTAAATGCATCACGTGACACCACGCACGCTTCGCATGCCTTCGCGCGAAAATGCCGGAGAGCTCCTAAGACCTGTTCCAAACCAGGTCCCTTGTTGAGGTAGTGAGCCGGCGAAGATGAAGCATCATGTGCGTCATCATCAAAATCATCATGTGTGTGACCACCATAATCTTTCTAGTGTCTTTAGACCGGGGGCCTAGCCTATTTTACTCAAACATCAAGATGAATCCACATCACTGATGGAACGTCAACACTTTGACCCCAACCCCACCACCCCACCTCATGCGCATCATCATCATATTTATAATCATGAGGTATGTGACCATCATAATCAGCGTAGGATCATCTTCCGTTGACCGCATTGTGTGTAGTCATCCTGGTCGTTATTAGTGTAATCATGATACAAATCTTACCTAGTCATCCTCGTCATCATGTGTGTAGTCATCATATAATCATCTTACCTCAAATCATCTCAATCCCAACATCTAAAAGGTTCTTGAGTGAACATGGTTGCCTCTAGGATTGCTTACAGTCCCCAGAGAAACCCCGTCCACAGCCACACTTGATCCCAAGCGTCGGAAGCATGTTGGCAGCGGTGCCAATGGTCAAGGCGCCCAGCATCGTGCCGAAGGACACGCCCATAAAACGGTCCATGTTCCTTAGCATCACATGCAGCGACGTGGGACGCGTGGGGATGATCAACCTTAAAGACTGACCCTTTGAGTGAAAATATGGCCCAAGCTATCACTATTAGGTTGGAGGCCATCGCTCTTAGGGTAGAGGTCAACCGAGGCCATTGTTGAGAAGCGGCTTCTTTCCAACATCGAGCGAAACCAACTGGGGTAAACCGGTGACCGCCAAGATGTGGGGCAACAGCAACAAACATCTGTCTCAATCTGGCCAAGAACAAAAGAACTCTTTTGCAGCCCTTGAATTGATGTTTCAGGTGTGGGAGGAAGCAGATCTTGAGAGATCTCAAGCGTGCGGACAAAACTAGCCGGGCCAGCAAGCACAGGATAGCAAGGATACCAGCTGGAGCTGTGTTGCGCCCCGGCACACTTACAACTTTGGACTGCAGTCCTTGCCCCAGGCATTCTAGGATATATATATATACATAGAGGCCGGAGCAGAGTTGAATTACTAAAATCATTTACCTTGCTTCAAAAGCCCAACAGCTTCAGTGACAAACCAACAGAGATGACATTGAATGCCCACGCCGCACGCTTCCTCTACTGAACAAGGCTCTTCTTAATTGCGGCGGCCTGATTTCCACCCTGACTGTCAGCTAGCTCTCTGTGACGACTGCAATGGTGACAGGGCAAACATCGTTGGTCAGTGCTTCGTCTGCTCTGGGTGTTCAGGCCTTCCTTATAATCTTTCCAGGCAACTGCCTAACTAGAACACTTGTTTACGGTTTGCTTTGCATCTGTGCAACATGAAGGTGTAATGACATGTTCAACGGCGTGTCCTGCCTGCCGCATAATCGCCTTTAGATACCCAGCCCGCCTGAAAAATCAAATACGCCACTGTCCCTGCAGGGGTGGCGTTGTATGGCGGCACAAATGCTCTTTGGGTGTTGTAGCCTGCCCCAATGCCAAACCTGCAACGGGCTCACATGACACATGGTCACACATTCATGATTCATGATACATGCGCTCTTGGGTTGGGGGGGCTTGCTCTTAGGTCAGAGGCCATCACTCTTAGGTTGGAGGCCATCGCTTTATTAATCGCTTTAGTAAGGAGGCCATTGATACTAGTTTCCTGCGATGGTGTTCGATGTGTCAGTGTGTCCATATCCCCAGTTTGGAGTCCGTGCTAAATCGGTCCAGGCCTTCCAACAACAAAGCACAAGGTGTAGGTGAGCAAGAGCTTCAAAACGTTTATGTTGGCATCCTGATGCGAATCTGCAAAATGGCCCTCTCAAGTCTCAAGCATGCTCTTTCAGCCTTCCATCAAGAGTTGCTTAAAATGATTCTGTGATGATTAATCTGAATCAAGCCCCATGCTGCACCTTTCGGTTGCAGTCAAATCTTACGGAAAGCTGCTGGTTGGCGAGTTGTCCCTGCATAAGGCTTCAGCTATGTCCGACCACTGCCCATTACATATATATATGTATATATCTGTGAGTATGTGTGTGTGTGTGTCGCACTCCGTGTCCAGGAGCTCAGGTTTTTAAAATACAATCTGCAGGGGGCCATCCCTCTCACCAGTGGTGGATGGCCACCGAAGAGGCCACTGGTGAGGGCTGCAAACGCACCTGCTGATCTAATTAGGGCAACAGAGGGAAATGGTACTCGACACACTTGTGTGTCGGTGCCTTTCCTTCTGTTGTTCCTGTTCTAGTCTAATCTACCCGGGCGGTTTGAGACCAAAGTCCCGCTCCCTAACTATCGCACGTAATTAAGAACCGCTAAGTAATCAGTAGCTAGAGTGCTAAGTATTCAGTAACTAGCTTCTGAACTTTGTTCAACATTTCAAGTACGCTGACCCCTTCACCTTGCTGTTCCCTCTTTCCTTTCCTCCCTGTGGATGATGACATTGGATGAACCTGTGACTAAGTGTGTATCGCTGTGTTTTCCCACTTGGGTGCACAGTGTGGTCCTCTCGCAAGAGAAGCGCTGAAGCCTTCGTGAATCAGATATCGATTTAGCGTTTTTGGGTTCTGGGATTATGGTTTAACTGAATTGTGTTTCACCCAATGAATCAACTGAACCATATGCCGCCGGGCTCACGGACTAAATGCCGCCGGGCGTACGGAGAATGAACCCCCACCCCCAAACCCCTCTTTCCTTCTTGCGGCTTCTTCATTTGTTAGGTGTTTCTTCAGGCTTGTTAGGTTGTTCTTCAGGCTCGTTTCCCTACCCCTCGTTTTCGCTCTCTTCTAGTATTCTGGTTCTAATTGGGGTAACAGACGGAAATGGCACTCGACACACTTGTGTGTCGGCGCCTTTCCTTCTGTTGCCCCTTTTCTTAGTCTACTCTACCTGGGCGGTTTATGACTAAAGTCCCGCTCCCTAACTATTGCGCATAATTAAAGACCGCTAAGTAGTCAGTAACTAGCTTTACCTTTTTAACTACACCTACCTTTCTCTCTTGCCCTCTTCGTTTTCTCTTTCTGTCTTTCTTTCCTTTCTAAGGCTTGTTAGGCGCCTATTCAGGTTTTGACTCCGTAATTTGCCGTTCGTTCGGCAGACATGCATGGCCTTACACCTATCTTTCTTTCTCCCCCTTTTCGTCTTGCTCTTTCTGTCTTTCTTTCTTTCTTCCTTTCTTTCCTTTCTAAGGCTTGTTAGGAGGCTATTCAGGTTCCGTAATTGGCCTTTTTCTAAGGCTTGTTAGTGACTATTTAGGTGCGAGCGCCGCACTGCAGCACCTTGTGCGTGTGCCGCACTCCGTGTCCAGGAGCTCAATTCTCACAATTCAATACATTCTGCAGAGGGCCATCCCTCTCACCAGTGGTGGATGGCCACCGAAGAGGCCACTGGTGCAGAGCTGCAAACGAACCTGCTGATCTAATTAGGGCAACAGAAGGACATGGTACTCGACACACTTGTGCGTCGGTGCCTTTCCTTCTGTTGTTCCTGTTCTAGTCTAATCTACCCGGGCGGTTTAAGATAAAAGTCCCGCTCCCTAACTATCGCACGTAATTAAGAACCGCTAAGTAATCAGTAGCTGGGGCTAGAGTGCTAAGTATTCAGTAACTAGCTTTTGAACTTTGTTCAACATTTCAAGTACGCTGACCCCTTCACCTTGCTGTTCCCTCGTTCCTTTCCCTATGGATTGTGACATTGGATGAACCTGTGACTAAGTGTGCGTGTGTCAAATATACAAATACAAAATAATATATATATATACATGATCAATCATGATCATATATATATATATATCGTTATATAGTTATATAACCTCTCACGCTCTTTTCTTCAAATCTTCAAGGATTCTGCGCGCGGGCCTTTTTGGCCAGCGCAGGCCTCCAGAGAGGAAGTGAGGATAGACGCCAATCTGAAGGCTAGCCTGCGACGCGAACCAATTCCTCCTCCTGCAGTGCTCTGCTTGCCAAAAGGCGTGGTCTTGCAGGAGAGGTGTGCACAGCGCCAGCTGTCTGAGCCTTGCCACGTGGAATCGAATGCATCAGTAACAGAAAGAAGCGCGCCCAGTTCGCTTGGAATCTCTTCAGACCAAATGCAAGTTCCATCAGAGTGGCTAAGCTCCAGTCTTCTCTTAAGGAAGGATGATCAGCCGGTAGAAGCCTGGTAGGACCAAAATGGTAAGCAGGATACAGGCAGCCGGCAATTAGAATAGCTCCAGCTCGATTGAGGGCCCTTTTAAGCCCCACCGAAGTGACCGGTCTTTCACTAAGGCTGAAAGCCCGACATTGAAATCCATTGCCAGGACTAAGCGAGTCTTGGGCATCTCAATGGCCGCCTTCTTGAAAAGGGCAACAGCAGCAAGAACCTCCTGAATGTTGATATGCATAGGCTTCTTCCAATGCCATACCTTCTCAGTGCTCCACTTCCCACTCACAAGAAGATCATTGCAGAGCGGGGTCTCCAGGTTTTTCAATCGGGCTGCAGATCGGAGCTTTTTCTTCAGGGCCTGATCGAAAGTGGTCTCTGCTAGCTCATTGGTGTAAGTAGCAGAGGGCTTAGCGTAGCCACCTTCTATCTTCACATGAGTGTGGTCACCGGAGCACTTCGCGTGGACGCAGTCTGAATCAAGGTTGGTGAACAAGAAGACGAACTCCTTTGGATAGATCCAAACATACAGGAGGCCGTCCATGTCTCATGAGCATGGTCGTTGTCCAGGAAGAATTGCCATTCTGTTAGGCTCCTCACCTTAGAGGTGAAAGAGGCCAACTTCATCAACGCAAGCGCCCGTAGCGCCAGCGTAGTACCAAGTAGCGTCTTGGGGTTCAACGGCTCATATCCTCTTCGTAATTCATAGCTTCGAGAAGCAGGATGTTGAGCAGGGGAGAAAGAAGTACAAGGCGGCTCCACCATAAATGAATTCAAGCCATCCTCTGTCAACCTAATGGTATAATAACCAAGAGATCACCTTGAGGGAGGAGAGGTTGAAATGCGGGGAGCTGTCCAAATCCAGCACAGGGCCAACGACCCATCCTCTTTCGGACATGCTTCTTGAGATCTTCCCAGAGCACCCACAAACTTCAATGAAATGAAAACGGAAAGCTCTCGGACGCTCTGGCTCTTCTCGCGGTTCTTGGTGCCCAAAAGAATCTTCTTCTCTGTCCCAGTCAAGCTTCCTCGCAACAGCCTCTGCTCGAGTCAACATCCGGACATAGCTAGCCTTCTTCCGGCCAGTCCTTCAGAGAGCACGAACAAAATCTTGGTCAAGAGGCCTTGAAACAACGGCTCCTTTGCTATCTGAAGAATCGGTCGAGTAGAGCTTGGGCAGGAACTTTGCAGAGACGTCAGTAGCAAATATGACACAGCACTGCAGCCAGCAAAACCTCTTGAGCACCTCGTCGTGAGAGAGGGACCAACTCCGGAGAGTCCTGAGAAATGTCTTCTGTCCGAGTGACAGTCTCTTCCTGACTGGAGAGGCTACAGTGGCGAGTCCCTGGCGCCGTGCCTCTATAGAGCTATCAACCTCAGCTCCAATGATCAGTATCTTCTGGGCTTAATAGATCCTCTTGGCTAGAAGCAGGTCATTCACGGCACGGAAGCAAAAGTCCATCTCGAAAGAAGGCACAAAGGCTGGCAGTGGCAATGGAGAAAAAATCATCAATGACCAGTCCTGAAGCATGAGGGGATGCCAAGGAATGCCGTCCAGACCTCATCTCTTCTCTGCTAGACAGAAGCCCTCCATCTCGAAGCAATGCACGGTGAGCGTCAGTCGCAAACTCTACTCCTAGGCACAGGGTGCTGTTGAAGCAAATCTGGAATTCTTGTGGGAGATCCTCAGCTCTATAGATCCCACGGTCCTTGTTGGCGAGCAATGCTCTGTCATACTTTCTTCGTTTGAGATTCCTCTTGGTCCATTCAGCTTAAAGGCCAGGGCATCCTTGATCTTTTCGAAGGTGGCCAATTTAAAGCACGCATTTGTCGCAGCTCTCTCTGCTGAGACTTGGAATTGATGATAGAAGTCTTTTCTGTCCGTGCAGCAGAGTGAGAAGCGCTGAGTGCCAATGTCGATCTCCAAGTCCAGGAGGCATTGAGCAGCGGGAAGGCCTGGAGAGGCCAAGGTCAGGCGCCCTTCAACATAGTTTCTGGATCTCCTGTCCCCAATCACTCTGTCAACTTCCTTGGACTTGTAACAGTTGAAAAACCTCATAGCAAGGTCAGCCCCGTGCTCCGCAAGAGGTCTGTCTCGGATGTACAGGAGGCCCAAGTTGGGCGAGCTCAGAGTCCTGCATGTCTCCGTCCAGAGCAAGGTCAAAGGCTCAGAGTCCTGGATGTCTCCGTCCAGAGCAAGGTCAAAGGCTCCATGTAGGCCATCCAAAGCGGGTCTGAAAGAAAAGGTCCCGGGTTTGATAGGGCATTGCCGGAGAGCTTCAACGTCAAGGGATCAAGGGAGCGATATGGAATCAGCTCCTCCAGTCAAGTAAGGTCACGCTCGATCACTTCTTTCATGCCATCCTGGGCAATGAGCGAGAATGTAGATCACCTCCAGCTCCTTCCCAAGTCAATCGGTCAGAAATGGTCAGCGAAAAGGGCCATCAGGATAGGAATTCTTCGGCCACAAGCAGGAACTTGAAACACCTCTCTGCTGCTACCGAAAGCTTTCAATACTCTCCTCAAATTCACCAAAACACGGCTCTGTGCTGTAGAGGGCCGCCGGCACAAGGACTCCAAAAAAAACAGAAGTGTTGTCCGCATGCCAGAAATTTAGTGCCATGATGATAGTGTGGAATGCACGATCAAAAAGAATTCGCCTCCTATACCACCACATCCCAGCCTCTCAAAAATGCAATGAGAGGAAGAAGAGCTTGTTCACCTGCACTTTCATGCATAGGTTTGCTGTGAAGAGTGGTCTTCAGAAACTCTGAAAACGGCGTGCGAGACTCCAGTACGCTACGTAGCAGCATAGAAGTCCAAGCACCGAAAGAAAAATCTTGAAGTCTCTCGCAGGGGTCCTTGCCGTCACGGCGTTCCTCCGCCGGAGTCCTTCTGGTAGTCGATGGGGAAGAACTGGTAGCCTTGCAGGAAGAAACAAATGCCTTCCGCAACCTAGGCCAGAACAAAGTCCATTCCCACCACTCTGCATGCATCGGGGCTCATTGCCTCCAGCCTTCGATCGAGACCAGCATCTCCTGTGCACCCTTGTAATCGCCAACCAACATCTGATCCGCTACATGGGCCATGAGCCACATAACCACCCCCAGGTCTCTTTGATGGCTGTAGCCTCCCTGTCTTTCTAAATAGTTTGTGAAGACACCCTTGCGGGGAAAACCTCGAGAGAGGTGGGGACCGGCTCTGTCGGCTTCAGTCTTCGAAAGGCATTCTGACTGACCTTCATCCAAAAATCAAAAAGAGCTCTCCTTGTCGAGCACTGAGATCTGCTATCAACTTCTCTCGCTTGACGGTGCCACGCATGCTGAGAGAAGAGCTCGTACTGGATCCCAAATCTGGCAAGCCATCCTGAGAGGTCAAATGAGCCACGCATTAAGTCAGTGCTTGAGAGTGCTGCGCCAAAATGTCGGTCACCTGAACAGGACTCCTCCAGTCACGCCTTTGAGTCGAAGTCTGGATGTGAGGGAAGAAGTACTGGCTCGTCCTCTCTCAATTTGTCCAGGGGCTGAGTGGTGGGAAGATCCCTCTTCTCCGGGGTTGCCCTGGTGAAGAGGACCACTTGCGATCCTCTGCGTGAAGTGTGCTGGAGCCAGGCATTGAAGGCCTGCCTGTAAGGCAGAACACGAGGAGCGACATCTTTGCTGCCGGAGGCCATCATGAGGTCCAGCCGATCTCGGCGTTGTGCCATAGTACTCAATTGAACTGTGATCGAAGGCAATGCCTGGAAAACAGCACTGATCTGCCGGCCAAACTTGCTGTAGTGACCCTCTTGGTAGGAGCAGCTCCTCGAGCCTTTGCTTTTGCCTTCCCCTTTGGTTCGGCCGGTGGGGCCATGGGAGTCTGAACTTCACCCGGTCGCCCCCTTCCTCGACCCATTGGTATGCAGCACTCAGGAGCGAGTTGGCTTCTGGGAAGGCATCCGGATTCCCGGATTTTTTGGGGTGAAAGGTCGTGATGCCCTCGCCCTCGGTGACCGGATCGAAGCCTCTCAGGCATTGCAGGACAGAAATATGAAAATCCACCAAGATGCAATCCAGGTCGAAATCCAAAGCTGCCACCATCGAGGGCCTCCTCGGAAAATAGCCCACAGGCACAGCACACATCAAACCATCTCTCCTCTTCAAAATTGGGAAAACGAAGGCCTCTTGCGCCGCAAAGTCCAACTTCAGGACATGGGCCTCCATGATGCCCTGATCCAAGGCCTTCAAGTGTTCCATATGGCTGCTGAGGTAGTCATTGTCCGCTAGGCTCCGGGAAAAGAACTCCCGCTGCCAAGCAATAGACAATAGACTCGTCCCTCGGCTTGGGAAGGGAAGGAATGGGAAACCGATCCTTCTTCGAAGCGAGGCAGAAGACGGAAGTACTCAGCAGCGCTGTCCACACACGAACAGGAGCAGCAATGCCTGGCCCACGGAGGATGATGTAGCAGGTCGCCTTCTGCGCAATCTTCGGACTGGGACGGGGCTTTGAAACCTTCCCCTCAATTGTGGCCTTGGCCCGATGTTCCAGCAAGGTCAATGCAATGTTCAGGTAGTGCAGGGATGGATCGTGCCACCTGGTCGCAGCCACCTGACAAAAGAGGAGGGTCACGACGAGCAGGCCCTTGAAGAGCTGAAGGCCTTGCCGAGGAAGTAGAGGCAGTTCGTCCAAATCCCAATCCCGAAGATCCACCTCAGAGAGGACAGCCACCGGAGCAGCAGCAGCCTGATCAGCTGCAGAGTCGAGAGAATTTGCCAGCAGGCGCAAGGTGTTGGCGGCAGCCTTGACAGCGACCAAGATGGTGACGGCGTCGCTCATATAGATACGCCGAGAGGTGTAGATCGGGTGCTGAAGTTGTCGGAGCAGCAGCCTCAGGAGTTCTGAAAGGGCAGGTCGAGGGTGAAGGAAGAGCCAAAATCCGGGGAGCAATGTGAGCAGCGAACCAAGAAAGGTGCCACAAAGAAAGACAGCACCGAGAACGAATGGGTTCGAGGCACAATGCGCCGGACACGAAAGACCCCCACCAATTAGTCACCGACCCTCACTGCAAAAACTTCAGCGCCTCGATAAGCGCTGGATGCATCAGAGCTTGAGCGGCAGAAAGCCACATTCGAGATTGCACATCAGTTACCTTTTAACCGATATGTAGCCACTGCCACCCAAGTAAATAAACCACAAAAATAACGAGCGATCTGTTTACTTGATTTCGATGTCGACCGTGTGCTCCTGGAAATCCAGAACCCAACAATTCGATTGACTATGCTTCGTGCTAACAAGAAGCCAAAGCTGTCAAATCTTTTCCTGCTGGGCAAAGCAGTGGCTCTCTCTCTCTCTCTCTGTGGGCCTCACAGTGCTTCAAACAGCAAAATGTTTAGCAAACACGTGCGCTGCCAGCTGCAGAAAAACAACACATGTACTATGATAATTGTCGATGATAGTACCGTGAAAGGAATGCCCCTTCAATTTCTGTGTGTTGCATTGTTTCGCGTTCGAGGAGTTCTCCCGAAGTCATCCTGCCTGGGAGAGCCCAAATGCCCTGCAGCAAGCCTCGACAAGGTCCGATCGCACCTTGAGGCTCGAACCTCGTTTCATCGGTCAAAGGCCAGGTTTGGATGTCTACGATGCCCACAGGTTCCCGGCAGCCTCTGGTGGTGGCATTCCCAAACGCGGCCCAGTGACTCTGACAGCGATAAGACCATATCAGACACCTTCTGGCTGTAGGCGCTAGTGCTGGCAGCCAACGCGAATTGTGGTAGGTGGGATGGAGTGAAGAATTGCTTCCAAGAATCTCTCTGCCTCACTGATGCGGCGTGACATCTGCCAACGGGCATCGGATGTGCTGCTCTTTTTTGGCCCTCATGGACCCATCTAAACGAGCATCTACTCATTGGGTGAGCTGCCCAATCCGTTTCCATTCAAGCCCACAAACCTGGCACCTCAAAGTTAGGACCTCATTCAAAACAGTTGTCAAAGCCCTCTCTGTGTTTTTGAGCTACCCACTTTAGACGCAGTGCATCTCACAACAAGAAATGGACATTGCCTATAGCATTTCCAAGCGTTCTTTCTTGAGAGAGTGGCATCATCTTGCTTTTGAATCCTTCATTCAGCTTGATCTGGTGCTCCTGCTGGTAGGCTGGTAGAAACACCGTTTCTGGGTCAAACTCGCAAGCATATCATCAATATGCATGACAGCTGGAGAGCATGAAACCTAGTGGCAACCCTTTGCCACACATGCATTGCCTACATAGGATTCAATTGCTGCTGGGCTACTAATTAACTGCCTCAAGGTGAAAAAGCCAACGCTGCACGTGCGACTTCGTCCTCCAACTCTGCCAAGCAGTATTCTAAGCCTGATTGATGAAGCTCCAGTCCCAATCACGTTTCGAGCTTCGCACGTGGAACAAAATTGTAGAGCATAGAAACCATTGCAGCTCAGGAGCGCTCTTCTGTGTCAGCGTCCAGGTCCCCATGCACTGCAGCGGTCACACTTCGCCGAAAGGCATCTTTAGTGCTAAACTGAAGCAACATCAATTCCTGGCCGTCCGCTATGGCCGCTATGGCACAGAGGCACGTGGGCTCCAGCACAACCGAACTGGGAAATGTCAACAAGCATCAAACAACATTTACAAGTGCACGAACGTGCACGCTGCACAGTGACGTGCAGTGTGCTCTTGTGACTGAGTTGGCTCCGGGGGTGGTAAGCTCTTATACAAAACCAATCAAAACCAGGTGTCCGGGGGCCGAAAAGGAACGTTTGGAACTTTTGATTTGCAAACTTCGGGGTCCACCGGCCCAACATAAGCTGCGGTAGTGAAGCGTCAACTGATAACGTCCTTCTGTACAGCATCCAAGGCATGGACCGAATCCTGCAGAAGAGGCCGGGCGCGCATGTTGCTTGGCTGTCTGCGGATCTAAATAGATTGTCAATGATTGTCAGGAAATCAAAGGCAAGAAGCACACCACACATCCACCTGCAATAAAAATAAATGGCATACGCCAAACAATCCCACCATTAAGATTGAGACACCTTTGCAAGGTCTCTGTTGGATCTGTGATGCAAGGCTTCCCGGCACCGTCCTTCGCTAACTTGCTATGCTGCACGGCCATTACCATGCTTTCCAGCCAGTCATTGATTAGATCCAGGCTCCGGCAAATTTCGATCATCATCAGCCGCGCTCGGCCAGAGGCACCCAAATCAAAGCACTCCCACCAGCTCGTGTCTAAAAGGCTCTTGATCTCCTTGGGCACTGGGACAACATTAGGAGCTCATTCTACCTTCCAAACCAAAGCTCCTGGCATTCCCACCACAAATATGAGATGGGGGCAGCAAACATGATAAAACATGTAATTACATCGAATATGCTTGTGTCTGTGGCGGCCCTTGCTTCACTGAATCACAAACGTTGGGGAGCCAGCAGGGCCAGCAGGGTCATCTGACATCGAACGCAGCTCCCCGGGCTGCTTCCTCCTCAATCCTCACCCTTCTGCACGGAAGCTAGCATGGGCAAGGCTCTGTGAGTTGGTTCTGCAAGCCTTGCACCTCGACCGAGAAGACCACAGCAGCTTGGGGGCCCATACTGAGGCATCCCCTCTCAAGAAGCTGTTGAGTCAGCCTCCAGAGTTGGAAAGAAATTGAGCCAACCATCTGAATCTGAAGACTTCTCCGCTATACAGTATAAATATGTATGATTTTTGCGAACGGATGGAAAGGTGTGCCCTGGCCCCGTTCTAGCTCTTAGGTCAACATGAAGCTCGCGCGCTAAAGCTCCTTTTTACCTGGTTGGGCACTTGAGCCAAAAGTATATGGCATGTACCTGTATAGCGACTATACTGGGACCCCATCCCTATTGACACCCCCCACATCCGTACTTCGACGGGGAAGGGAGATGAGTGGATGTAAAAACCGGAGAACGAATCACGTTCTCAAAAGTGTATTGGAGGTCAACCAGTATGTCCTATTGAATTGAATTAGCAAAAGATCTTGCATTCGCTTGAAAGTTGGATCAAACAGGCAATGGAGCTACAAGCGGAAAACGTGCACCTACCTATGGTATCATGCGATTACCAACGGTGTGAGACACAATCCTATCTCACTCCCATGATGCCAAAACGGTCATCATGAATTACCCGAGATCCCTCAGTACTTGAAGTACCGGAAGTGGCATGTCGGTATGACCCCAATGCTCAACCATTCGTGAGTTGTCGCATGTAGTCAGCGCCGACAAAGCCAATGTAGTCCTTGATGAGCTCAACGTTCCTTGGATTTCCCGCTCGGATCTGCTCCTCGAAGGACTTCAATTTCCTTGCTTGGATATCGGATACCTCTATGCCATAGTAGCGGCATGCAACGAGGATCTCCTTCGTGACATTCTTCCTCTCCGATTTGATGGCGGGACTAGTGTCGATGAATTTGTATGGAGCGGCACTTTCGTCATCTGGTTTCTGGTAGTAACTATATCGGCTCGCTCCGAAGGTCTTCTTGATCATGCGTCTGATGAAATTTGAGATGAATGCCAATTTCTCGATGATCTCATCCTGGGTCTCAGACTTTCGAGCCTTTGGATCACTCATGCTACGCTGAGTGTTGCCGACCTCTTTGAGGTACTTGTGGCTAAGCCCGCAGCGGATTGCAGTGATCATCATCGGATGAACAACGTTGGCGTGGAATTCATAGATCTGCCACGCTTCTGCTGCAAACACGTCGTCGGTCCATCTGCTCATGCCTACGACCTCGGCTCTCTTGAGACGTCTTGGAAACCCAGTATCCGGATCTTTCGGTACTATTGGCCATCTATTGTGCGGAGTGTCATGCCGCTGTCCATCGTCGAACATTCGCAGTACATCTTCACGACTCTCAAAGCAGTTGATGTCGAACGTTGCGTTGGCCAAGCCCTTGATCAACTTCATCAACCTCAGATCAAATTGCTGTGTGACGGCAAAGTTGTGGTCGATGGGGATCGCAGCTTCTTGCGGCAATTCGTCAATTGCGAAGGGGAAAGGCTTCGGAAGTTCATTCCCGTATCCATCTTGAGGGACCTCCCGATACTCGGGTTCGCCTTCAGCTTCGTCCGGTCGTTCCTTCAAAATGATAGGAACTTCCTCCTCTTCCTCTCCTTCGGATTCCTCGATCTCAATGACCTCTTCGGCTGTCTTGCGTGCGTTCTTGATGACTTCATCGATGTTTGCACCTGCAGCAGAGGTTGTTTCACCGGAAGAACTGGCTGGGACATCTTTCGGAGGTGATCGTTGATTGCGGTCCCTTGTCTCCTTGGGTACCACATGTGTGAGCTTCCCATTCGCGATCAAAACCGCTACGCAGTGCGGACATATCGTCAATCGCACATCGACTTCGACAAGACAGTTAGGACACGGCCTTGAATCGTAGTCTTTCATCGCTCGGCGATACACGATCTCCTCGAAGAGTTCCTGCCACTCGGTGTTATCATACTCTGGGTAAACACCACTCTCCTCGATCATACCCAACAGCTTTGAGATTTTGGCGTCGTCCTCGGAGTAGGTATCGTCCTGAACCTCAACCGCTAAGCTCTCAAGCTTTTGAAAGCGTGGAATCATGATCGGGTTTCCGTATTTGGACTCTAGAACAAGGTAGCTTCCAGGGTCGGGTTCCCCACTGAGTAACCGGATCCATTCGATCTTCTCAGGCTGTCCGGGTTCCGCATTGTCGCATTGCAACCATGCCCCTTTAACCTCATCGAAGGGAACGACGTTCTCAACCAATAGAGACCCAGTCGCTGAGATGAGAAGTCCGTACTCCTGCAGCTTCCACACCGGAATGTAGAGAACCACTGGGCGATCCCTCATTGCGACCTTACGACCCAGCCAAGGTTTACCCTTGTAGCCCTGCTCCCAGGCCCATGGCGGAAAACATGTGAAGTGGATAGAATCCCTTCCCGATGAACCGAGACCTCCCGGCACTAGCCCTCGTCGCATGATTGAAGTCAGCGCTCCGAGATTGGTAGCGTGAAATGCAGTCACCATAGATAGGGCCATGTCGTTGGTCATTCTCGACCCAATGTGGTCGATGTCAATGGTAACGTCATAACCTCCGCCGTCCGTTGAGTGTGCCGAGGTTGCTCTTACAGCCACGGGAAAGCGCCATCCATCGCTATGGTGGAGTCTTCCTTTAGAGATTCCCATGTCCTTGAGTTCGTTAATCCATCCCTTCTCCATCGGGTCATCAGGCTCATTGAGTTCATCAGGGTGGACACGGACCGCTAACATTTGGAATCTGACCCTCTTGGTCATGCGGAAACACTCATAGTTTTGGTCGAAGTACTTCTCCAAACGCGCCTTCTTGGTCACGATATCTATGTTGCCGTAGTGATAACCGTCTTCCCAAACTGCATTATCACCTAACAGGTCTTCCCATGACACCCATGCGCCTTCATCGCATTTGATTGGTGCGAGTCTTCCTCCTGTCCTGAACTGGCGTCCAATTCGATGTCTCAACTTCGCTCCCAATCGACGACTCAGGGCCTGGCTCGTTTGGCTGTATTCACGTACTCGACAGTCTGGAGTCGGATACTTGTGGTTGCCGTAGTCGGAGTTCTTTGCAGCGAAAGTGACTCCGTTGATCGGTACTAGTTCAACTTTCCCGACCATCGTCATGGGGTCGATCGGCTTGTATCCCTTCTCCCCCCGTGTTGGTAGGGGATAGAAGTGATGACATGCCTTTGGTGTGAGGGAACTGGAGTGCACAAATGCCTTCTCGACAAATTCATACACCTCTTTCATATCCTTAGGGCCTGCTTCCACAAGCTTCCGCCCATTGTAGGAATGTGGTCCTCCTTCGACTCCATCAGCACTTTCGATCAAGGTGAATCCGTCATGGTCGAACATTGTCACGACTCTTGCTTTTAACATTTCTTTGCGCCTGAACTCGCTGTCGACCTTTCTATCTGGAGTGGGCGACGCTCTCTGCTTCTTCTTCTTAGGCTGTTCGGTTGGATGTCCTGATGGTACATCGTCGGGTGCAACCTCTCCCTTCACTCTCTTCTTCCAATCACTCAACACCGAGGTGACTGTAGGTGAGGATGAAAGGGTCTTCTCGCAATTGAGAGTTGTGTGTCCCGACTCCATGCAGTGGATGCAGAATTCTGCCCGCCCGATCTTCTTCTCAAATTCGTCGATGGCATGCAGTATTGATGTCTTCGGGTCGGACATGTCCACATCTTGCTCCTCCTTCTCCTGTACACTTTCAGTCTCCATATCGACACCTTCGGCCTCGGGCTCGCCAGTGGCTCCTGTTCCCTGTTCTGGTTCTTTTCCGATTTCGAAGAAGTGGTCGATGTCGAATTCAGGAAGCGGCATAGTCCTCATGCGGACGAGAATCAGCGCCACGCTTGCCGCCTCATCAGAGTGCGGGTCCATGGTTCTAATCATCGATCGCTTTCGGTTCTCATATGTTGTCCTGTCGTACAGCGATGCAGTGACGCGTTTGATGGATTCCTCTAATCCCGTCCTCAAAGCTTCGATGTCACCCCATCTCCTGAACATGTGCCTGAAGAGTTGAGCAATTTCGAACATGCCCAGCAGCGCTTCCACCATGTCACCTACCCGTTCCTCCGTGGGATCATCTCCGAATATAGTGCGGAATACATCGGGTTCCAGTATGGCCTTGAGGTATTTGGTGTAGCATACGTTGCCAAGGTCATAGGATCCCTGGAAGTACTTGGCGCTGCCGACTATCTGCTTTTCCACATGGATGCTGGGTCCTCTCCTCGTTTTGAAGAAGTTCTCCGTCATTGTTGATGACAACCTGATCCCCCCGAAGAACGAAATCTCCTTCTGGAGACCTGGATTCTCATTGAAGATGATCATCGCCTCGTGTAAAAACTTCATCAAGTCATCGTGCGGGTTCATCTCGGAGATTACGATGGTGGGAGAAGATACCGTTTGCCCCATGCCGAAGTTGTGAAGCAATCGAGCACATGCATGAAATCGCTTCTGGACGTAGTCTTCTGCGGACATCCCACGGCATCTGTTTGCTGCTCCGTTGATGCATTCCGTATAGCAATCATCTTTCAACTCGAAGTCTATGGGATTGCAGAACAGACAGTAATCGCAGCAAATTTCCTCACCCTCCTTAAAGTCATCAATGACGTACCACCTTTGAGTCCTTGAGTATATTGGTTCTGGCTGAAGGACTCCCCAGTACTCATCCATCCATGGCATCTTGTTCTCTCTCCTTACCTTCTCCCTCTTCCTCCTCTCAGACTCATTCTCACCTGAAGGCTCCGCGGTGGACTGATAAGCATGGCTTCCTCTCACGGAATCTCCGAACAAGTACTGATACAACCTCTCTTTGTCCTGCAACACGTGTTCCAAGTTGGGATCATGGAGGTTATTCGCTTCGGTCAAGGGGTCCGGTGCCATAAAGCAAGAAGCGAGCATCTTTTCTCTGAACAAGTGCTTTTCCATGACAGCGTGGACCAAAGAGGTTCCAGACTTCATAGAGTAGGGGTGACCGCTTCCGGCGACCGAAATGGCTCGCCAGAATCTGTCCGACGTTGTGGACATCATGCCATTCAGCGACAGCTCGTCCTTGATCATGTTGGCGATCTTACCGAACAAACCGACGGCATGGTGAAAC